CTCGCTAATGACAATGCCTTAGTCTTCCAATTATGAATCCAGGAAAACAAATTATCCTCTAAGAACTGAGTGGAGAGTGATTTAGATCGTCAGATCTGGAAAGGGAGTTCCAAGTAGCTATCACCAGGATTCATAATAGCTACTCCTAGGAATGAACTGATTGACATCAGCTCTTTATATGAGAAATTTCCACTCACACATACAGCCAACTTAAGCATATTAACCTGTTGCCCACTAAACATTTCATATTTAGAGAGCAATTGGAGCAAGGTTGCACACTCAGGAACAGAGACACAAAGGAAAAGATAAGATTCGTCAACGAAGAATAAGTGCGAAAGGGGGGAGCAAACTTGTGAATCCGTAAGTCATGGAGCAAAGAATTAGATATAAATTGACTTAATTTTGCTGTGAAAGCTTTAGTATATATGGCAAACAGGAGAGGCGATGATGGATCGCGTTGGCGGATGCTTCGTTGTGGTTGGATAAGAAACTCCACTGCTCGCAAAAATCCCATCGACTCCATAACTTGGAAAGGAAACTCCCACTCACGCGATCATATGCTTATTCCATGTTAAGTTTTAGCGCCATCCATTTGTCATGACCGCGAACCTTAGGTTTGAGAAACAACATCACTTCTTTGCCAATGAGATTGTTATCAGATATACAATGTCCCTTTACGAAACCATCCTAAGAAGCGCTAATAATGTGAGGTACAACAGAACTCAGCCTGGTTGAGAGAATTTTGGAATTAGCTTTATACAGAACCTGGCAGAAACCAATATGTCTCATTTGTTTCTTAGACTCGGCGTTGAGCACTTTTGGAATAAGGGTCATCCATGTGTGGTTAATGCTATGGAGGAGACGACCCATCTGAAAGAAGGATAGGAGAGCCTCTAAAAAATCCAATCCTACCACATCCAAGAATCGTTGATAAAAACCAGCGATAAAACCATCGGACTCTGGTGCTTGATACTTCCCAATGTTGAAAATGAGTTGTTAGATTTCTGTTAGTGTTACTTGTGTAGTGAGAAAATCATTCATATCCGAGTCACCTTAATTGGAGGGTTTAGATTACTGACAAACTCTGAAGAATCAAAGCCATTAAAATAGAATATATATGGAAAGTAAGATAAAGAGGCTTCCCCTTTCCTCTTCTTGTCGGTTTACAAATCTCCATGAGCATCTTAGAGAGTTGGGATGATGTTAGCTCTCCGATGTTGCATTGTGGCCAGGTGGAAGAAGTGGTTATTGGTGTCTCCTCCCTATAACCAATTAACTCGTGACTTCTGCTTCCAGTATAGCTCCTCTGCCTGTATGACTTTGTTAATTGAGCTTCCAGGCTGTTGATTTCTTCCCAATTGATAGTAGCAGCCTCCCGTGCTATGTTAATAGCTCCCCAGAGTTCCCAAGTTTTATGAGCTAAGTTCACAGTTCTTGCTTTGGCCCATCCCAATAGCTCATGGTGTACATGTTTGAGCTGAATTTGAATTCTGAAAAGAGGAGTTCCTGCTACAGGTTTATGCTAGGCAATATGTACAATAGGCGGTACGTTTAGGTTGTAGTCCCACCAGTGGTCGTAATGAAATCTTCTAGCTCGTCGGTCTGCAGGATTCCCGAATCATACCAGAGAGATGGTGTACATGCATTTCTGGAAACAAGGAGAGCACTAGATAATTAGCCAAGCATCGATCCATACGGGACTGAATGTGTCCATCGTCTGACTTTCGATTGGACCATGTAAAAGGAGGACCAGTAAATCCCAAATCTTGAAGTCCCCTGCAACTACGAATTGATTCAATTGCTCCAGGACTGCTGGTGTAGGAGTTCATCCTCCCTGTTTCTCACTACTAAATAATAGTCAATTAAAATCACCCAACACAAAAACATGATCCTCATAAGGCGAACAAGAAACAAAACTTCATTAAGTTGGAACTGGAGGGGGGCTACATCACAGTGAAAATGCACAAAGACCACAACAAATCGTCCAAAAGAGGGATGATCACACTCTAAAAGCAAGAAACTCGAAAACTCAACTGAAATGGAACACAGTAAACATGATGACCAGGCAATAGCTAATCCATAATTTGACATGCTATACACACGCTCCTCAGGAAAGCCTAGACTACCCATTTGTTAGATACCAAAGTCATCATCTCGTCTAGTCTCACTCAGACAGACCATAAATGGGGAGTCTCGAGCTAGCGCCTTACGGAACACAAAAACTGTCAGGAGAGCCTCCAATCCCCGACAGTTCCAAGCAAGAAAACTCATTTATCAATCTATGACTGGTTTGGATCGGCTGCATCCACCATATTGTCTTGATTTGCAGTAGACTCTTGCTCAAGATGGCCAAGACGGACCCTTTTTGCCATAGGTTTAGCCTCGACCATCTCCAAGTCTTGATGCTTGACTGCTCTCAAGGATGTTGCTCACTTCTCCTCCGGAGGAGCAGATGACGAAGATGATTTGTCAGTCCCAGAGGAAGAGGAGATTTATGGCCTAATGGCAAAGCCACGAGAGATGAGGATGTTTTCTAGTGCCAGGAAATAGTCGCCGACCTTGCTCCATGACTATTTCAAGTCAAGGTCCAAACAAATCTCTTGCGTCTACGAGCCAAAGTAGATTCGTTCACTCTGGTGCCAAACTCCCGGGCCACAATATGCTTGTCATATCTTGGAGGAACCCCAGCTAGTTCTTCCTTTCTCGGGCACAACCTGTTCACATGACCAAATTTCACCTTGTCTTTAAAGCTAAATATGGAAGTATTTCATGAGCGGCGGATACTTCGTTTGGGAGAGGACTTGGGACATCCAGCGTCACATTTGCCCTGATGTATAGGACACCGAAGACTTCTTATCTGTGGATGGCGGCAGGTTTCGCTGGTCCCAGAGCCGCCCCAAGCATGGAACCAAGTTTCTCGGTGCAGAAGTAATACGACACTACCCCTCCTCCTCCCCCCCCCCCCCCCCCCCCCCCCCGGCCCCCTCGATTTGAAAAATGAGAGGAACCCTGAGCAGCATTTTCGCCGACTCCGCCGTCGGAGTTTCCCATTTTCTCACATAGATGAGGAATTTCTCAAAAAGTCCATGTAGATCCCTTGAGGATGCGCTGGGTGATTCTTGGTCTACTAGGCCGAACTGGAGGAGATCCCACTCCACCATCGCAATTAGGAAATCGCACTTCTAGAGCCAACAATTGACCGTAGCGTTAGTAGCGAGTGTAGCGGGTCACAGAGACAATCAATCAAAGTCTGATCAAACCTTTGGACACCCACAACAACATCAAGATCATTGAAATGAACAACCGCCATTTTCACAGGCAGTTGGAATTGCAATGAAAGCTTGTGCAAGAGAGAAAGAACGATATTGGCAAGTCAATGAGGAGTAGACTAGAGTCATCGTAGCTTGGCCGGGTTTTTATCCCTGGCACGAGGAGAAAGTGTCGGAACCGGCGAAGCACGAAGGCGGAGGTTATTATCGGCATCGTTGGGCAAAAGCAAAAAGCCCTACCCACTCACCCATCGTGAGGTGACAGGAGGGAGATTTTTCCTCCTTTTTCCCCGATCAGCAACGCCTCCAAAACTCATTGTTTATTGGCTAATTATGTTTTTATTATAAAATGTATTTTAATTGTGGGCAGGTGTATTAGCCCGGGCAGAACAACGGACCGGACAGGCAGTCTGTCGCCAATTATGTCGGTCGGATTGCCCGGTCCGGTTTTGTTTTAAACACTACAAAAATAATTATACCCAATATTTATTTTTGAAGTTCTAATTTCACTTGAAAATATTAGTGAATAATAAATTCTAAACATTTCATGTCTGCGAGATGATCAAATATTAGACCACTCTAGTGAAAAAGATAACATCATTGACAATTTTTGTCGCAATTTGATTTTTCACTTTTATTCTATGAATTGTGAGGGAGGAGATCACAATGATTCATCCCTTCCCCACCCAGCCAATGTTGAAGAAGCAATATCACAACGAAAAAGGAGTGTGTGATTCGTGAGAAAAAGGATAGAGTTTAGGGTTTAAAGACCTCAAAAGCTGGAATATGGCATGTCTGGTTAGGCATCTCTGGGCCATATCCTCAAACTCTTCTTCTCTGTGGGCCAACTGGGTTAGACACTACCAAACTTCTTACACCTCCATTTGGGAGATACCTGATTCTATTCCCTGCTCATGGGCCTGGAGGAAGGTTTTGAAGATCAGGGTTAGAGTGGCTCAGCATCTTACAGTCAGATCTGCTAGAGTTTACTGGGATGATTGTGTAATGGACAAGTTTTCAGTGAAAAAAGTTCGGGAGACACTTCGGGTTAAGCACGAGGCAGTTCAGTGGTATACTCTGCTTTGGAAGTCATTTGGGACCCCTAGAGATAAAATGATTGTCTGGTTAGTCATGTTGAACAGAATATCCACTCTTGACAAGATTCAGAGATGGAATAGCTCAGTGATTAACATCTGCCCCTTATGCACCTCTATAGCAGAGTCAAGGGATCATCTCTTCTTTAAGTGTCCTTACTCTCAGTGTGTATTGCAGGCTGTGTTTGCAGGAAGAAGTATGATGGGGGCTAACTGGGAGGGATCTTTGGCAATTGTCATCTCTCTTTCGATCAAAGTGCTCCTCATCTGATCGTGGTAGGCTTCTTTGGGTGATGGTGGTGGCTGAACTTTGGAGAGAAAGATGCAGAAGAGTCATGGCTGGGGAGGTGCTGTCGGAAAACCAGCTTCTTCTGAAGTTACAAGGGTTGCTGCATCTGCTCAGGGGTGGATTTCCTCAAGTTGAGCTTGCAATCTCAGAGGAGTATGTGAATAGTATAGTATAGTGTAGATTGAGAGTGTAGTTAGATAGACTGGTTTTATTCTTTTTTGGTCTGTTCTGTTGTTGTTTGTTCTTCTCTGTACTCGGTTTACTTGGGTTCCAGTTAGAGGGGTTTTGTCATGAAATCTCTCTTCCTTGATGAATAAAAGCTGCTTATTCATCAAAAAAAGAAAAAGTATAGAGTCACCTCTCCTTATCCTAAAGCTTCCAGCTGCCGAGAGAAGGAGGGGATTAGGTCGTTCTAGTTATTTCTCATGCACGCTAATGGGTACTCGACAACAAATTGACAGAAATATTGCGATTAGGAAGGTGCCACCGGGCACTGGCCATGTTCCCGCCAAAACAAGAGGAAGGAGCCATTGGGTAAAGATCGTTCTAATGCCATAGCTTCCAACTGGTGGTCTACACTATTTTGCATGGGTTCCCCGCAGTGTTTTGCATACTGCAAAACATGATTCGATTAGGGCGATACTTAACCCCCTTCTTTCTAGCAAGAGCCGTTGTAGGACCTTAACAACTCCCAGTGCCCCACAAGAGAAATGGTGCTCATGAAACCCATAAGAAAGTTTAAGACTTGTTGTCTTGTAAGCTACTGTGCGACTGAGTGCTGAGCGTACAATCTTTAAAGCACAAACTGACCAACAATGACGGTGAGCAGCTAATCGACAGCCATTGCCTCGGAGCTACCAGATGCATCCTCGGCCATACCCTTGTGCTCCTCAATGGCCATTCTGGTCTCTTCAATTAAGCTCTTCTGGTCTTCATCGATTGTATTTTGTAATTCGTCAACCTAGAGACAAAAGGAAAAGACCAATCATGTCAGCTACCAGGAAATGCAGATCACAAAGTGAAGAAATGAAACAACAACAGTGGTTCAGCCTATCATAGCATGTTGAGCATCTCATCGAGAAGTGCAGATATTCATCAATCAGCTGTTAGAATTGAACTTCAAAATCAACAATTTGGACCAACAAGATAAGTTCAAGTAAGCAACAACACTTATCAATGATATATGTCCCGCAACAAATGTAGAAATAGATGAGAATCGCTTCTTAATGTATTCTCGAATCATTATTAATTTTCCCATACCTCCACTTTGAAGTTCCTTCCTATCTTTATATTATATGATTTTCTTAAAAAAAATGGATAAATGAGGAAAATACATCTTCACACTCTCAGTCGGTCTTGGTTGAAGAGATGATTAAGGCATAACCAACGTATCTCATCAAGGCTGCAGAAGGAACGGAGATATGGTGATCAATTATTATCACAAACGTTAATGACAGTTGTTCAGGGTACAGGTTATGCTTTTCTGCTATGAGGATGGACTTTGTTTAAGGAAAAAATTCAAGTTATCAGACAGCTCCTGCGATTAACCAATTTCAGAATAATAATGAGCAATCAGCTAACAAGTTTGCATGCAAATGGCTTTACATTGTGTCAACAAACTTGGCTTTAGAGAGCATGAGTATTAACAGAGGTACATATGATCTCAAAACAGGTTCAGCAATTAATCAGTATTATGGCAAGAAATGGTTGATCAAGCACCAACAACAAAACATAGCAAGGCACTGATGATCAGAAAAAACCTCATTTGGCAAACTAGACAATAAAGGAAAGAAACAAGAAGGATGATGAGGCTATTGACTTCAGAAACTGAAAGGAAAGGCTACAAGAAGATTATAACATAAAGCACATAAGGAGAAAGAAGATGCAGCATCATACCACATGCAACAGTAAAGCAAACTGTTTTTTGCGGAGTTCCAGCAACCTAGAACCGACTGTGTTCTCCGTCTCCAGTGCCACGATCTCTTTCTCCAATTCAGTGATGACTTTCTGAGTTTCAGACCTTGGGGGCTGCATTGCAATCAATTTCCTGATTGCCTCGCACTCTTCCTTGTGCTGCCTTTCGATTTTACTCTCTTCAAGCAGCTTCTTCAGATCTTCTATATCATCCTGTGCCTGCAAGATCTGTTTGTTTATCTCCTTCTTCAAATCGTTGAAGTTCTCCTTCTCTTTGATGTTAGCATCAATAACTGCCTTGCTCTTAAGGAGAGGAATCTCAAAAGTATTCAGTTCCTGCAAGAATGCCTTCGAGAGTCTCAAACAGTCACTGTAGTTGTCTTCTTCCTTACCAGCCTCGATAATAAAAGTTGAGAACTTCTTCTGGAGCTTCTTCAATGGAGGTTCACCCCTAGTAGTTGTTGTGCGGGTGAGAAGTCTATGTTTGATGATCAAGTCATCCTCAAGAGGTCCAAACGCATAGTTTGCTGCTGCTGCTGTTTCTCCCCTCACAGGGACTTTCCTTCCTTTAGCCAACATCTAAATTCAATCACCTGCAATTGCTGCCAGAAATGTACTATCATTTTCATTCTGCAATCAGTCTACAGACATAGCTCTTGCAAGCTGCTAAAACATCAATGGCTTCCACAATCCACACATTTAAGTAGTATGGAAGGAAAACAGGTTCATGGTCGTTCATGAAGTGAAATTGGAAAAAAGGAACTGACGTTTTGACAAGACCTAAGTCGATTTGCTAAAGCAAGAAAAACGTCATCACCACTTCTGGTGAACAGAAGCAGATAACAAAGGGTCTACAGCGGCAAATACTTCAGCTGGACTCGGGAGATAATACACAGAGTACGTCAGTAAGCAATCTACCCAATAAGCAGAGATCGAAAAACTGAAGCTAATCTAATGCCGGAAGAATAACCCAATTCTCTCAGGAAAAAAAAAATCGTAATTCGTAGCTGAAAGCTAACGTTCTATCAGTTCAATGCTTGGCACGCACTAAGAGATATCAGTGGTAAGAGCAGATAAAGGACACATACGAGCAGGAACTGAAATTAGAACAAGAACAAAAGTTGCAATCGGGGTCAAGGCGGGTCAGGGAAAACGAAACCCACAACTTTCAAAACAGACCTATCAGGGGAAGTGGAACCTACGATGGTAGAGACGCCGAGAGGAGGCGGAAGGTAGCAGCCAGTGGAAAGAGGAGCAGCCTTAGGGGGGCAACCCAGCGGAGAACAGAGGGACGATAGACGAAGGTTAATGCGTCAACTCGAGCTGGAGAGAATAGAAATCGATTGGGGAGGCGCTATTTGTGCTCGATTTGCTGGTTTCGTTGTTTTTGCCTTTTCTTTAGATTTTGTAGACGGTTGTGTTGAGATTTTTTTAGTAGCTCTAGTTTTATAATTATTGTCCTAACTTAAAATATAATACTATAAAATTATTCTTTATTAATTTTTTTTAAAGATCGCTTATATTATTGAGGAAAATTGCTAGACACAAAGTTACATAGCCGAAAACAATCAAGAAACAAAATTGAACCCAACTAAAGAGGGGAACAATAAAAGAGCTCTTCTTGTCACTAAATGGCTATTCTAGGGTTGGTATTAAGTAAACCGGTATCTGTATAACCGGCTACCGACGGAACCGATCAAGGCATTCTGAACTAGACTCCCTCTATCGAATGAGGTTCTCAATCGATACAAAGCAGTGAATCAACCCTCGACTAAAGCAATCGATTCACTACTATCAATCTATGGTGCTCTATTGACCTAATCAGGTATTCGCTCTCATAGGATCAAAGCAGAATCAATAATCTCGACTAAAGCAGAATTGAATCGTGAAAACATGCATAGATTGAATATGAACTCAAGATTATCGAGTCAGAGTACTCATACAATCATCCAATCAAACAAACATAGCTAGGGTTCCTCAAAACCTAAGTGAAGGGAAGTTACTCCATAGAGAAGAGAGAGACTGCAGTAAGAATCTTTAGATAATCAGTCTTCAAGTCCGGGCTTGTTCCTCGAGCTTCCAAGGTGAAGAAATCCTCCAATTCCACTCCAAGAATGCCCTCAAATCGCCCTCTCTTTCTTTGGTTCGTCCCTTGGGTGTTTGGGATCCAAAACCCAGCTCTCCCTTGCAAAAACGCACAAAACAGGCTTTTAACAGCCTGGGTTCGCGATCCCCGGTCAAAATACCCGGTCGGGTATTTAGGTAACCGGTCGGGTATCAACAAAATGCTCCGGGTCACTCTTCTGGGCAAAAGGGAAAATACCCGGTCGGGTATTTTTATATACCCGGTAGGGTATTATGGTCGGGTATTTTGCAGTTCCGGGTCTCCTATCTTTGATTCTTCGTTTCTCCCACGTTCGGACTCCAAATCAGGTGCCATTTGATCCCAGGCGCTCGTAGTCTCGTCCTCTTTCTTCTCATGACAAGATTACATGATTATATGGTCACAAACTGAGGTAGAAATCCATTCTTCTTCAAGTCATACCCGAGTTTCTTCCCCCAAGTCGCCAATTGATCTCCGATTGACATGAAACTTGCGCCTACGCTTCACTTTATGTGCTAGGACCTGAAATGTGACAAAAGAACACAACCTAGCGTAAAATAGGCCAAAGAAGTGATAATGCAAGCTTAAACGATCAAGAAACAAAGGGGAAAACATGTGCAAATATCGAGTCATCAGTCTTCTAAGACATTCCATATTTCTCTCAATGTGAGTACTAGACTCAAGCCAGGATCATGCAAAGCAGCGGACCGATGACAGACAATTCATGTATAAAGAGACTTACACTGTAACATCTCGAACCTTTTCCCGACGAAGATATTGTCTGCTTTGGGCCTCGACCCTCACGGTTTTCGACTTGGGTGCAATTCAAGGTGACTTCCCATAGGGCCACCCATCTTAGTACTACTCTCGCCGAAACACGTTTAACTTCGGAGTTCTGATGGGATCCGGTGCATTAGTGATGGTATGATCACACCCTTTTATTAGGACTAAAGTTATTTATCTTAATACGATTAGAGTAGACTGGAGATTCTATAGACACTTAAAAGGAGACCCTTGACTCATTTTCCTTTCCTTTAAAACAAAAACTTTAAAAACTGAGACCGGCATTCCAATATTCCTTGGAGACCAAGGAATAGAGGAAGACCGACTCTGATACCAAAATGAAACACCCTAACCCGGTCGGATACTACTTTTACTAAAATTCCCTTGAAATAAAATACTCAAATCTAAATTGCAGTGGGAAAAATTTTCATAAATAAAATACTGGAAACACACACTTGTAGTTCAAAGTAAAGCCCTAACACGCGGGCAAATTAAACTAAACTTTAAAATCTCAATCTGATCTCTAATCTATACTCATAATCATAAAATGTAAATAATTAGGTAGTCTCTATCGTTGCTGCTACTGAAAATCTTAACTAGGCATCCTCCGTGACGCTTGCACTGCCCTCCTCTAGCTGGCTGCCCTCGAACTTTTCCTCTCGAACTCGCTGCTCTCTAACTGCTCCTTTAGCTGGCTGCTACCAATCTGGTTCTCGCTCATTCCCTTACTAAGGCCTGGTGAGTGAGTTGGGGTCAGTCTACGCCCTTACATTTTAAACTTTCTAATAATTTTGCAATTCTTCTCAAACACTTAAATACTTAAACTCAAACTGAGGGAAGTTGTTTGTACTTCCATTCTTAAAATTCTTAACTCTTAAAACTGTATGGGAGTAACTGTTACTCTCCATTCTTAAAGCTTAAATCTCAACTTAAATACTAGACTGACACGGGGATCCCTCACTAGGTAGTCCGGTTGCCAACTCATACGTATGAGAAGCCACCAAGGCTTTCCTTAAACTTAAACTTATCGTGGAAGGCTCTTCTTCCACGATTCTCAAGAGCATAACTGCTGCTCATCTTAAAAATCTCAAGAGCATAACTGCTGCTCAACTTAAATATCTCAAGAGCATAACTGCTGCTCTGTCTCAAAGATCTCAAGAGCATAACTGCTGCTCTAACTGAAAATCTCAAATGGCAACGGACTGGCGCTAGTGACTAAAAACATTTAAAACAATTTCACCTTCTTCAAAGGTGAGGTATTTCTTAAAAGGGATTGTTCTTAAGCTTTAATAATCACTCGTAAACGTAAACTTCAAAGTAAGAGATAAACTCATACACCTTCACTTCAAATCATAGCTCAACCAAAGCACATACTATCAAACATAATCATGCAATCTCAAACATGAATCAAACACTGCACATACATCACGTAAATCAAAACTTGAAAATACTCAAGACAAATATTTGAAAAACTGTAAGGCGTAGAATTTACCCCCTTTACACTCACCTTACTTCCGTCGGAACTGGCTCTGATTTTGCTCCAAAGTTTCCACACTCGCTTCCAACCCTATTACACTCGTACTTGCTTGAATAAAATGGAGAAGCTTGTTTTGGCAAATGGAATTTAAATGGACCAGCTTGCTTGGCAAATGGAATTTAAATGGGCTTTGGTCATTATTGGACGTCCGTTCGTCCAGGTTAGGGAAATGGAAATAACAAAAAGACGAGCAAGCAGCTCTCATAGTAGGAGGGGGGAGGCCCGCAGTCGATGCTCATCAATCAGTCCTCCATCGCCTTCAAATCGTCCACACAGGAGCTAACAATGACCATGAGACGAACTTGCTTAAGCAAGCAGCTCTCGTCGTAAAGGGAACCATTATGCTCCGCATCCCTTGTCCATGGCGCCGTGATGACTCGATATGTGCACATGTTTTCCCGTTTGTTTCTTGATCGTTTAAGCTTGCATTATCGCTTATTAGGCCTATTTTACGCTAGGTTGTGTTTCTTTGTCATATTTCAGGTCCCAAGCATCGAAGGAAAGGCTAGGCGCAAGTTTCAAGTCAATAGGATACCAATTGGCGATTCGGGAGAAGAAACTCGGGCATGACCTGAAGAAGAATGGATTTATACCTCATTTATGGATGAAGAATCATGCAAACTTGTGATGAAAAGAAAGAGGACGAGACTATGAGCGTCTGGGATCAAACGACGGCTGATTCGTAGTCCGGACGAGGGAGAAACAAAGCATTGAATATAGGGGAACAAGTTCGGCAGTAAAAATACGGGCAGACTACCCTAAAAACACAACCGTGTTTTATCTGCCCCCCGCTAGTGTTTTTACTGGCGAGGGCGTGTCGTGAGGGCTGCTGGGGGCAAAACACGGGCAGGCAAAAGTAAAACACGATCGTGTCCTCGATCGTGATTTGCCCAGAATCGGGCTTTTGAGGCAGATTCAAGCCAAAGGAAAGGGAGAGCTGGGTTTTGGTTCCCAAACACCCAAGGGACGAACCCTAGAGAGAGAGGGCGACTTGGGAACATTCTTGGAGATATTCTGGAGGATTTCTTCGCCATTGGAGCTCGCGAATCAAGCTTGGAGATGGAGATTGAAGATCAAGATCAGATTTTTGCAGTCTCTCTCTTCTCTATGGAGTAACTTCCCTTCACTTAGGTTTTGAGGAACCCTAGTTCCATGTGTTAGGATCTTTCTTGTATGAAGTTTTGGATGCTATATTGTTTGATTATAATCGATTAAGGCATGATTTATTGATTCAATTGAATCTTGATCAAATTCTCTTGATTTCTGCTTTAACCTATGATAGATAGAATCTGATTAGGTTAAGAGAGCTTCATTGATTGATAGTGGTGAATTGGATGTGCGAGAGTCAATCAATTCATTGCTTTGTACTGGAATTCATTCCAGTAGTGGAGATCTATGTGAATCGCCTTAGCAGTCTATCCCGGTGAAGGCTAGTCGCCTGCCGAGTATTCTGTCTAAGTGAGCTTGGTCAGCTTAAGAGATTCCAAGCTAATTTAGGATCTTCCGCAGTTTAATCAACAGTAGATCAACCAAAGGTAATTGCAACTTGGACCTAATTGAGGAGATAGGGGGAATCATACCTAATTCCCAACTTGTAATTAGTAGAGTAGTTTAGTAAATCAATTCTTAATCTAGTTTGCTAGATAATGAACTGAAGCTGAGTAATAGTACCTCTAGAGACTTGTGGATTCGATATTTATTACTTATGACACTATACTGCAGTCCCTTTCATTGGTTACACTTGGCCATTGTTAGGTGTTGTGTCGTAGCGTGTCACGCCGCTTTGTGTTGATTTGATAAGGGCGAGTCCCACCACCACCTCCTGCTTGTTTGATTTCCCGCGAGCAAGCCGCCTCCTGCCTACTTCCCCTATGGAGAGTCCCTAGTCGATGGCGCCACTTTGCTTTGATTTGTTGAGAGCGAATCCCACCGCCACCTCCTGC